AATGGTAGAGACACAATTACGCAATTTAATTATGATACAATAAAAGGCCTAATGCTGTGTGGTACCAAGTACAGAAAATGAATTGTTTACATCGTAAAATTCTTCGCTGGTGCTTTCTTGTGGTGGATTTTCTTCGTCATGATTTTCTTCGTGTGAAATACATTTCTTTTTTTCATATCTTTTTTCATATCTTTTTACTTTTTGCTTCTTATATTTATCGGCTTTATTTTCTAGTGTAGTATTAAACAAAGGTTTGACTTTTAATAAAAGTATGTTAAATAGACGCGATAAACTCGGGGAATCTTGCAAAATTAAATTAATATAAACTTCAACATTGTCACGTTTTTTAAAATTGTTACATAAATTATACAATAATGTACCATTGAACACACTAGCAACTCTAGTTGGTTCATAAGGATATCCCAATAATGCATTTAAGTTCATGCTATGCCTCAAACAATTTTGAAACTCTGCAAAACCATGAACAATTGTGATATTAAATTTTTTCGGTTGCAAATGCAGTTTCTGATCTATTTCAAAATTAGATATAAAGAATGGAGCTGCAATTAAGCAGTCGTTAGCATCAACTTCGCGAATGGCATCTGCAAGTGTAGCATCAATTGAATACTGTGGTCGATAATTTCTCATTCTTCTTTCGTGTCGAATATTGTCTACAATTCTATTAAATCTCTGATAAAATTTGTTTAAGATTCTATAAAAGCCTATATTACAATCTATTAAGTTAAATAACAAAGCAAATAATAAAGAGTATACATGACAATTGAATTTAGATGGTTCCTCTTGTTGATCAATCCAATACTTCATGGTGGCAATATACAACATCCAAATTGATGGAATTTCATTCATATATTTTGCATTAAAGATTGTCAAAGTGGTATTTAAAATTTCTCTTCTGATGACAATGGATATTTCTCTTAAATTGAGTAAAGAAGGTAGTTTACAACCAAATATATTGTCACTATATTCCAATTGATAACGCTTTATTTTCTTATTTTCGTCTCTGGTAATATATTCCATATTGAATTTCCTTCCCTGAACTCCTGATATCAGTAATCCATAAATAACACTTATAATTTTTGAACTTATAGCAATAGATGAGATGCAGGAAGAATCTTCAATTTGTGCAGGACAAACATACAACTTCCTTATTATTAAATCTATAAAATAGGAAGGAAATCTACTTTGTTTAAATTCATTAATAAACCACTGAGGTAAATTGTCAACCAAAGACTCATTAGAAATCAACTTCTTTTCTTCAAGTATGTTTGTTATTTCTCTATCTTCTATTTCCTCCCCATCACTTAATTCTGTATCATTTGTTCTTTCGTCAATAAATGTCAAATTATATATATCACCTTCAAACTTATAAATCTTGGATGTATTCTGCATATTTACCCTCGAAAAGATTTCTGCAGGAATATTTAGTGTATATAACACACTCAATGGTGCATTGATATAACTATTTATTACCGTTTCTATGGTATGTAAAACATGTTTGCGTTCTTGTTTTCGTAATCTCCTTAGTATTCCTATAACAGCTTCATTTAAACTGCGTCTTCGTAGCCAATCAAATGTCATGTCTATACGTCGTTGTTGTTCATTGTTACATCTCCTCCTTCTTGATCGTGGCAGATGATGAAAAAAGTTTTTAAACATATGCTGCTTCACATAATCATTTCCTAATAATACTGCTGCTAAGGGCAATAAAGACTGGTTTAATCCATAATAAATCTGGAAAAGTTTATCAACATAATAAATTTTGCAGCGTTTTATGTAACCTCTGCCTGCTGGGTTAGGCACTATGTCAGTTTCCAATGTATTGAATGGTATGTATAATGATCCATAAATATAGAAGTCAGAATCATAACTCAATACAGGACAATTGAGAATGCGTGCTATCGCAGCTATTGTATTGTCTGCTTCAAATATACACTGCGCATATCTAATACCTTTTTCTTTCATGATATCTTTGAAGACCTCTCTCATAAGTAGAGGAAGAAATTTGGTCCGATGCTGAGAAGATAAAGTATAATTTGATGCAATCTCAATCTTCTGTTTAGTTCGAGATATAACTGTTTTCAGCTTCTTGTCTTCACAACCACCATCAATCAAAACCAGTGGAGTAACGTTGCATTTTAGGAGTTTATCAAAAAAATCCCTCACACTTTGCGCATACTTGTCATAATCACCACCAAAAGCACAATTGCATCTCGCATACCAAGTATACAATTGACAACACACACTGTTGCCGTCAATTACTAAATAACTGTCATGTAAAGCGTAATATTCGAGATAACGCTCTGAATCATTCGATATATACGTTGTTAGACCAGGGATACCCATTCTAAAAGTTAATTTTCTTCAGGAAAAGCTATAAATAAAAACTTTATTCAATGAGTTTCTATAAGATAATAAACATTGATATTTTTAACATTTCCCAAAACTCTTTTTTAATACTTTATGTAATTAGCTCCCTTATTTTCACTTATTACTTACAATGTGTTTATTTGAGTCTATTTATGATTCTTCTTCTTCTTGCTTAATGGCTCCTGCTTCTGTCTATTTATGATTGAATCTAATTTTATGAGAGAAAACTTTTACGAGAAAAAGTAGAAAAGTCAAGACATGATATAAAGATTGATAAAAACAAGGATATGCTCGTCCGGTGGTAATCCACTGGGGTGCGTTCCAAAACTTGACTCTGACAACTCTGAGTATCTAGGGATTAATTATCAAAGTGAGCAAATTCACTAGAGTATTCATAATTTAATTGGTCAATATCTAGTAATCTTTGCTTACTTGTAATTTTCACCTCTTCTCCAAATCCACAATCAATTGCCTGGCCTAATTTCTACCGAGTCGAACATAGTCCTCTGTCACAGTCAAACAATAGGGGAATGCTCGACTGTAATTGATTGGTTCTTATTCTGATCCGGATTAAATCCTCGGTGGAAATTAGGCCACTGGTCATCGTGGGCTGCGTCAGCATTTATTTTTCAACTGTTGGTAGTTTTCTGTGCGCTAATTGGGTAATGCTTTTAAATCAAGAGGAATGGTCCTATCCTCAGCAGACAATGGCCTATTATATATATATTAATATTACTCTTATTTGTGTTTGTTGAAAGATACTCACTGTTGCCCAAAAGTTAGAGCATTTCTAAACTTTGAAAAGAAAATTTCATCAATTTTATTTATTAATATTATAAATGTACAAAAATGTACAACATACTGTTCCAATAACAAATTTTATTTTAATAGTGTACATTCAAAAATAAAATAATTATTTTCAAAATAACATAATTATATGTAAAGAGAATATAATTATATGTAAAGAATTATGGTTTCGTATAAAATTACGGTATAAACTAAAAATTACGATCCCAAACTTTTTGAGAGGTAGTGTGTATGTTAGATACAAAACTAGCAACAATGACAAAGACGCAACAAATGATATAATTAATTTAGTAGAAATCTGTACATATATACATATAGAGAGACTAGAGATATATTTATATATTTTTTATTTTGCCAAAAAGCTAAAACAGTATATTTCTTTTTTAACGTAAGTTTTCTTAAACGTGGAATGCATTCTTTGTTAGATCAATCGCATTGTCTTCATGTTAGTTATAAATTTGCTGAAAAAAAAGTATTGTATAAATTACTTTATATAATCAAATTATTTGTTCACGAAATTGATACATATAATGATATAAGATTATATTGATTATTATAAGAAGTTCTAATTCTCACCAATTCTCACTTAATTAAATAAAAAAATATAAAAGATTTAAAAAAAATTTTTTTTTCATCTTTTCTTTTTTTCCTTATAAATAAATAAAAAAATTCTAATAATGAATATTGTACAATAAATCACAATAAATGTTGTAGCTAGATAAATATCATAAATTTCAAACTTTCAAATTAACGTGCATATTTTCTCATTTTCTGTACTTTTTGTACCATGGTTCACAAGCGCCCGATCTCTCTCGTCCCATATAGTGAGGCCGTCGCATGCGCAGATCTTCTTTGTATTTTGAAACAATCCGGATGATCTAGCTATAATACCGCAAGCCAATCTGAAGAAAAATTTATAATGTAAAATAATAAATAATTATCATAAACTTTGACAATAAGAGTCATTTCGTACCTAGCTCCGCTATTTCCATTTATCTTGGACTCTGGACTATTACCTCTTCCAAGATCATCTGGATCCTTAGTAATAATGAGAGATCTGCCAATGATGTCAGGTATCTTAAGAAACTTGTCTATCTTCCGAAAAGCAGCTCTGCCAGAAGTGTCAGCTAGGATATTGCCAAGATCACCAACATGCTGTAATGGCAAATAATAAAATTGTTAAAATACTATAAAATTTAATCCTTACCGTGCAAACGGGGGTAATTTTTCAGTCCAGACAATTATAAATATTTTGAAAATAAGTGAGTACGCGCCCAAAATATTTAAACAAATAATCATCTTCATTTAGAATAGTTAAGGAAATTACACGAAACTACTTTTTAATATTTTTTAAAATCATTTAATCCACTAAAAAAAAACATGCTGGACATCAATGACCCATGTTTACACTAAATGAGTACAAAATGTTTACACAGCAAGAATTTGATTGTTTAAATTTACCCTTTTGGACAAATCGTTTTCAGGGCTACCGTGTGGTGAATTATTTGGATTAAAGTGTTCGCCTACGCTGTAATAAAAATACAATTTATTCAAAATGTCAATCCAAGTACTTACTTTTGCAAATTTTTTTACCTTTCACAGCCATTAGATATATCACCGCATTCATGTACATGCATACCATGCTCACCAGGGGTCAAACCATCAATTGTACCATCTATGATACATCCCTCTGAAGTTTCTGCAAATCTTATAACCCCTCTGATCAGATTACCTATGCTATATCCTGAATTTCCACTCAACATCACCACAGCACTTGATCCATCTGTAAAAGATAAGTATCTAATAATTAATATATGTTAATATCTGAGATTCACATATACATATGAGTTTAAATAGACATATATTAAATCTCTTTGTTCCTACTTTTCATATTTCTATACTTCATTCTATACATATTGAATATATATATGCATATATTTAATGCATATATAAAATATAGAATATAAAAACATTCAAAACAAGTTTTTAAATTGTCTTTTTCAATAAAATATTTCTTTTTTATCTTTGACAATCTTAAAAACATCTTATGCTTTCAGAAATCGTGAATGAAACAGAAAAAATTGTTATAATATCAGATAATACATTTTATATATATACATATATATAAAAAACGTAAAAAAAATTATTTAAACCTCCGTATCCCTTCAACACTGCCTGTCTTCCAGTTCTTTCGATTCTTTCCTGTATGATGGAATAAGATAGATTTGTTTCAAGAGTGACAGTGCCACATTCTAATGATATATCAACATTTCGAATGTCCTCCAGATCTGCTATACTCTTAGAAATTGCATTAACGCATTTCTCGCATGTCATATGTACCGCAAATTCAATCTGCAGAAACATATAAATATGACAATATTTTCTGCCAATAATGAGATAAAAATTAATTTACTTACTTTCGTTGAAGCCATTTGCATGCGATATTCTTACATCAACGTTAATCAACGTAATAAACAATGATAAAGCAATTTCTTTATACAATTACACATTCATCGAGTTATGTTTCAGTCTATCTTTTATCTCTTTCTTTTTAATTTGTTACCAATTTTCTAGCAGCAAGATCTCCAACAGTTTGTTATTTGGCACATCAGGGTCTGTTCACGTTACTTGAAATTCCTAAAAATTTTGCATTTAAAAATAGACAAATATATCATATGATCAAAATTGACAAATATCAATTAATCAATTTTGATTCTTTTTGTCATTGATTATTGAAACAGTTGGCTTGAAAGGCTCGTGGAAATGTACCTTAATATCAAAGGAACCAAAGGTACAAGCTCGGATATGTGCCGTTAGTGGCGTTGCTCTCCCAAGCCTTCTATTTCTCTCGCGTACTATCCAATCTCTCGTCTTATCTAACTCCGAAACTGCATACACTTCACGAGGTAATTGACGATAATTGCCACACGCGTCAGCTACGTTACGACAAAAATACGTTATACGTACTAATACGCACGACTAGTTTGTGTTAGCGTACATATATACATATACATACATATTTATATATATCTCGTGTGTACATAACAAGCGGATTGAGTTTGAAAAAAAGATTTCTGCGACGTTCCCGTCGGTCCCGCGCGAATAATCTCGTGCTTCGGACTGCGGGAATATATTTGGGAAATACGACGAAGATGGACGTATCGCGCTCCTTTGAGATATTTCCAGGTAGCTCTTCGCAATAGCGCGACGTGACGGAAGATTACTCTCCTCGATTACCGGTCTTTCTCGGTGAAAGTTCTTTAACGTCGAGACGATTCGTGAGTTGTCGCTTCGAAAATGTCCGTGACCTTCGCACAACGCGGCAGGCCACCTCCAAATCCTGCCCAGATACAAAAGGTAAAGCAGTTTGCAAAAAAAATTGGCTTTTACTACTACACCATTTATAATTGAAAGCTGAAACATGGAACATGTTTAAAATTGTAAGTATAACTGTACATGTATGCGTTTATCATGTTTTTTTAGATGCTTGATGAGAATAGCCAGCTTATACAAATGATTCAAGAATATCAAAACAAGGGCAAAGCACAGGAATGTGTACAGTAAGTGATTCAGCAATGATTTTGTTTCTTAATATTTCAACGTGTATTATGTGTCTCCTTTTCGAGTCCATTAAGAAATGTTTCTTATGAAATAATATTGTGTAGCAAGAATTAAAAAAAATTTTTTTTTTTATTATTGAGATGACAGTCTTAATCTCATATCAAATTATTTTTCAGTTATATATATCAAATGTCAAGTATATATCTAAGAGGATTGTTTAATAACTTTTGTTAAGTCAATTTATAAACTTATTAATTTTAACTTTCAGGTATCAGCAAATGCTACATCGCAACTTGGTATATTTAGCATCTATCGCTGATGTAAACCAGAATCTTCAGACTTTATTACCTGTAAGTAGCAGATTCAATAGAATAAACAACATAAAACATAATAAAATACATTTAATTCAACAAAAACTGTTAAGTTGAATAAAATTTTTATAAAGAATTGCAAAATTAAATTAACTATCTTTTGGTTTCAAGCTACCTCAAGGTATTCCTAATGGTCCTCAACATGGTATGATGAATCCACAAGGACTTCCAAGTGGTCCAGGTGGTGCAACTGGTCCTGGAGGAGAAATGCCACCAAATACGCAGCCAACAATGCCAATGTCGACGTTTAATCAAGGCCAACCAATGGCACAAGGTTATCGTGGGCCTGTAATGCCTGGCCAAGGACCTACCATAAATAGTATGTTATATTCCAATTTGAATTTTCTATTGAGAGAAATCTTATTCTAAATTTATATTAAATTATAATTATATGTCAATTTAAAAAAATCTGAAGCATAATTATAACTTTATTAACTCTACAGATTATTAGACATTTTAATCTTTTAATATTTATAGGACCTCCAACTGCACCAGGTCCACAACAATATAGAGGTCCACAAGGTTATCCTCAGCAACCTTCTCAACAAGGTTATCCTGCTCAATACACTGGTCAAAATCCTGGCTCAAACTACCAAGGTCCACAAGGATCTGCATACACTCCGGGTCAACCAAATCAATATGGACCGCCAAACGCTTCTCAACAGCAAGGATATAATGCAGCAACGCAGCCAAATTATGGTCCTCCAACTACAGTAAACAGTTATGGTCCACAACCAGGTGGTTATCCACCACCAGGCACAGCTCAGCCACTTTCAGGATATGGACCACCGCCGCCAAACCAACAAGGTTATCCACCTTCAAATGCCTCACAACAGAATTTCTCATCAGGTAGTCAACAACAACAACCAGGACAATACGGCAGTCCTAGTCCACAACCAAATTATCAGCAGCCTCCGTCCCAAGCGCCACCTCAAAACGCATACGCTGCTGGACAACCTGGAAGTTATCCTCCTCCTTCCTCACAGACATATGCGAACAATGTCCCACCGCAAAATTATCCACCACCTCCGACAACTAATGCGACTCAACCTCCACAACCTGGGTCGCAGCAAAACGCGGGTCCGCAACCCAATTATGTTAGCCAACCAAGTCCAGGTCCTGGCGCGACGCAGTACGGTCCCGCCTCTACATCTCCGCCATTTAGCACCTCCTCTGCGAGCAGCAATACTTATGCCCAAAGCAGTCAGCCAACAAGCACACCATCTGCCTCGACGCAGACATATCCGCCGAATAGCGGTCCGCCACCAACATCGCAAGGTGGAAGCTATGCACCCCCGGTGCCACCAACACCTTCTGGATATCCCGTTCATCAAACACCACATCCAACGTCGCATCCCCCGCATCCACCCCCACCGCACACTCAATCACCACATCAACCACCGCACACTCCGCATCAACCACCTCACCAACCAACTCATCAGTCATCCCATCAACCACCGCATCAATCACCGCACCAGCCACCGCAACAATCTCAGCAACAGTCGCAAACAGCTCCGCAGACGCAACAGCAACCGTCTCAGAGTCCAGCTCCGAGTGGATTTCAACCTCCATCTGGTCCACCACAAGGTCCTGCTCCACCACCAGGCCCTCAACAACAACCTGCCTATGGGCCGACTACTACACAAACATATGTTCCACCGACTCCAGGAGGACAACCACAGGTATTGTTCGAGTAACATGACTATATTGATATAGACGATTAGTTTATGATTTGAATTTATGTTTCATGGCAATTGTGTGTGTGTGTGTGTGTGTGTGTGTGTGTGTGTGTGTGTGTGTGTGTGTGTGTAAAATTTTATAGTTTTTATAATCTTATACAATTTTTTATGTAGAATAAGAACACTATCTTCTCTGTCTTAAATTTTTTATGTTTGAAATATCTATGAAAAATTGTAATATATGTGGAAGAAGATAAAACATATAAATTTATTATTAACATAAATTGAAACTTATTGAGAGCATTCTGAATTGCAGATTTATAGTCCTCATCCACCACAAGGGGGACAACATTATGGGCATCCTCAATATCCTCCTCAAAGTTATCCTCCACCGCCTGCAGGACAAGGATATCCACAATATCCACCACGACCACCTGGTGGCCATATGCCTCCTCCACCTGGACCACAAGGACCTCCTCCTCCTAATCAATATGGAGGTTACGGTTATCAGCCACCCACACAATAAATACATCAATAACTCCCAAATTTACATAAAATTTAGATTATTACGGATATTGAAAATATTTTTGTTTATATTTTTAGTTGCTGTATGAGTACGTATTTTCATAATGTAAATCACAATGTTTATTTAGATATTATGAATCTATATTATATAATATTCATAATATTTAAATATTTTGAATATATAAATATTTTAGAATATTCTTTCAACAAAGAATGAGATTAGAATTAAAAAAGAATTATGTAAAGAACTTAATTTAATTTAATCTTATGCATTAGATTGATAATAAGAAAAAGTTTAGGACAAAATTATATATAAATTATAGATGATGTTCCAAAATGAAAGGACTACTAGTTGGATTTACATTGTTTACAATTCTTTTAACAATCTTCAGTATTTATATACATATATTTTTCCATATGTGGTGATATAAATAATTTATGTATAATTTTGTTTT